AATACTGACATTAAAATACAAAACAGTCCTCTAAAACCTTTCATATCTTTTCTGTCATCATGACACTAATATAAATTATGTAACCTTCATCGCACGCGGTGTTCTGTGGAACTGCGAGGATTTGCAACTTCAATCAAAGCACCTAATTTCTGATAAATATTTTCTTGAACAGAAATGTCCTTCAATATGTCTGATAAATATCAATTCCAGGGGGGCACACAATCAAACTGTAATTTGAGGTTTATGGTATAAAAATAGAAGAAAATATTATTTGATTTCAACAATTACATCAGCCTACATCTTATTCATAACTCATGTAATTAGTTTTCGTTGCAGATATTACTATTTTCATGCTGCAAAAAGATTGCAGTACACATCCAAATTTTCTGACTTAAAATGGAAAGTAAAAACTTATGTGCAAATAGAGATATCAACTAACCTATCTTTATAAATATCACCAAAAAGTTGTCTAGCAGCAGCCAAAATTGTGCTTGTTTTACCAGTGCCTGGAGGACCATAAAACAGAAGATTTGGCAAGTCAGCACCATTCAAACATTGTCTCATTACTTCCACAACATCGTTCTGTTCTACAACATCGTTCACTGTCCGAGGACGACTGTAAACATAAACAGAACCATGAAGGAATCAAACAAAGTAGGCAGTAAAATCTATTTAAAATAGAACATAAATGAAATAGTCAACTGTGTCCCAAAACCTAATATCATGACTTCAGTACAGAAACTTGCACATTAGTTATAGCATGCTTATGTAATAATTTTGTATCATTTTTACTCTACAGAAAAATTGTAGAGCATGTTTGGCATTTGTGGTTTACGTTGGAAATAAATGTGATCTTTCATAGTTAATTTATTTCAATATACGAATGTAATGGATGTGTTAGTCATACCTAATTTTTAACAGAAATTAAATCAGTATGTCTTTTCGACAGTGAATTAATACGACAGCCACATAAGTCTTATCACGACATTAATGTAACCAAACATTGAATATTAATTAATTTAATAGCATGCATTTGTATTTTAGGAACAATTTAAGTCTATAAATCTATTAGTTATAAAACCTATCTGATGTGAAGTATCAAAAGTTTAGTCCCCTATTTTAGAGGTGCTTCTACGAATTATTATCGCAATTATAGAGGTTAACTTACTATTTTTCAACCCATGGGGTAAGTGATGGTTTCTTCTTCGACACTCCTGTTGAACCTAATTTTTCCTTCCTGCTTGATGAACTTCCCTGACCTCCACTTAGTTTTCCGGTTTTTAAAAAAGCCTGCATTTTCCTCCAACTTTTCAGTATGGTTAAAAATTTACATAACACACCATACTTTACCGCCAAAGTAAAACAGAGAACTGCAAAAACAATGCTGCCAAAACCTCATTCGTAAAATACGTAACACAAAAGTCCAGCCCAAAGAGAAACTACATCATAAATAGGCTTAAACGTGTAAGCAAGAAAACGAGGTCCTTTGTTGTTGTTGCTAATTTCTGTTGTTCCCGTAATACCAACATCCATGAACACTCCAGCAGTGGGGTCACTGCCGCCACCTGTAGACAACTAAAACTAGTTGCTCACAGCTCCAATCAACCTCGATGTGTAACAATGACTGCATGTGACTAATTATCCTTAGTAAGTTATACTTGTCACATTACCTGCATTTTGTGGAACATAATGGTTCAGAACCCTATGGACAACAGTCCACCTCCAATCACACTTCTAGACAAGGCTAATTCAATCCATAAACCCTACTTACCCAAAATGTTATCCTCCCATGTCTTAAGGCTTTCTAACCAAAATGTAATCTATACAGTTGCTCACCACTAACCTCTGTACTAGAAACTAACATAGACCCTGCATTTTGTTTCACAATATTCATTTTCAGCCAAAAGATTACTATTAGTTTTGACTAGAAGCTGATGTGCCCTGTTCACTTCCAACAAGCACAAGGTTCAGCCAAGCTTCTGCATTGTCCAAATTCATCCTCAATCTTGGGTCACTTTTTCTATACATGGCTCACACATTGCCTTGATAGAACACCAAGAACCTCTTAAATATCAGTCAATTTCTACCACACTATTTTACAGGAAAATACCCCAGAAGTCAGCTGTATTCACATCTGCTAATGAGAGCCTGAAATTTCACTTATTAAACCTCCAAGGGGAAGGCTACTCTAACCCCCTCACCCATTGGCCCAGTCAAAATTCCCCTCCTCAGAAAGACTCATATACAAGACATTATTTGTATAACAGCACTTGAATTACAATGTTGGTGATAAAAAACAACGATAATGAAAAAGAAGAGAACAGATATACAATTAATTAAACATTAGGATGAAAAGTAGAAAAAGGAAAAACTGTGGTCTGCTGAAATACATTACCAAACTACTCAAAAATATATATTTCTTATTGTTCACTGTAAACATTATACACATATTGCATTCACAATTATTACTAAATAAGTCCAAGAATTTAGTAATTTCAAAGATTCTTATTCCCTACATTAGTATATAAAATACATTATCATAACGGTGTTATGAAATTTATCCAGTGGTAAGAATAAAAAAATAAGGGAACTATTCAAGGTCAATGTATTTTGTCATGTGAATACCTGCTGTCAATATGGACTTGTTTCCTACAGCAGACAGGTCATCCAGTTCTTATTGATCATGACGCCAATTTTACTACATTTTTATACATTTAAAGTGAGAAAGAGCGCAGTAACTGATTAAAAATTACACATTCTTCAATGTTACTGCCAAATGAGAGCTCTATTAAGTTTTCTCAAGAATGGCTAAACAATTTCAAAGCAATGTATACAACATAAAGCATCCTCTTGGTGTCAAATGTACTGCTTGAATATGCTAATCGCAAACTATACATCACTGTGTACTTGCTCCAGCCAACAAATCATATATGAACACATTTATTCCCTACATTTACAAAACACATAATGCAGTGGTGCAACTGTAACTGGTACAATGCTGGGGTCCTAATTGCTGATCTGAAATCCTGGACTTTCCTCAGTTCCTTCAAAGGCCAAAAAACTACTTTAGAATGTCAATGGCAGTCTTCTGGATTATGATTCTATATGACCTCTACGTGGGTACAAACATACTGCCTCCATCTTTAATCCTTTAGGCAGTATGTTCCTATGACGTTGGTACCCACCTACAGTCGACATGGAATCAAAACTGAAACAACCACCATGGAGAGCTTCACTACACCAACAACATAAAATATTATACACTTTAAAATTGACCATTACCAATTCCTCGCTTGCCCTCCTCATTTTTCATTCACAATTATTCTACCATATCTAATTTCACACAAAATAAATGGAATATTTGTCATAATGTTGCAAAATTACTTATTCAATTACAAGGTCTATACAAAACAAGAGATTCATGTGAAAATTCCTTACCTCACATTTTTATTTGAAAAATGTATTAAAGTGTATACTTGCTTGAAAACAAAGCAAATCAACTTAATACTGATAACCTTGGAAAATCTTTATGTATTTGTAAAATCAATGACATTTATTTTTGTACTGAATTCGATTAACACCGCTCCTTGTATCACAGCTCTGAGGGTTCTTGTGCTGGGAAGACATCTTCTTATTTGAAGCTAAACAAGAAAAGCACAAACAATTAGAAGACAAAGGAGTCACTTTAATCCAAAAATGGCGAGGGACATTCAACAGCAGGCTTTCAAATGCTTCATATTTGATTTCTGATCTAACTTAATTTAATTTCTTACACAATACTTTATCTGAATGAAGTAACCTTCTTCGGGTATCTCACACCACCCACATTTTTCTTTTCTTTTTTATCAGCCAGTGCCCATGATCCAGTCATGTAACACCACTGGAGCTGCCATCATTCTTTATGTAATTTACATACCTCAAAATTTTAATTCAGTCATCAAAACTACTCACGGTCTCCGGAACTTCCGAACCTCTTCTTTGGGCAAGTTGAATAAATGTATATTTGGTATTATCTTCTTAATAAAATGTTCTTTCATTGACTGCCACGTCCTACCTGGACAAATCTGTAACAAAAAGGCACAAGCCTGAAAAATTGTATAGCAAGACCTTCGTTTGGAATACAGGGACTATTGACCAACTTTGAATGATACAAGGAGTATGAATTATACAATTTTCACCAACAGCATCACTTTGGTGGTTGCAGCTTGTGTTCAGAAGTGTATATGACTAGTAACAGACCCTAATATTGCAGCAGAAGACGAGAATCCAAAACTGCCAGTGCCACTGTACCCTCCCCTCGTACAACTCTGACATCACAAGAGAGGGTTTATTTTCTTACTTGGTCTATTTAACGGCACTGCCACGCAGAAGGGTTATAAATAGCACTGAATGAGAAATCTTAAAACCTTGCATACCGTGCAGTGTTATCTAAAAATATAAAATCATGCATACAAACAAAGTGTAAACAATTTTATTTGTACGCATGATTTTATAAATTTGAATGAGAAATGACAGGTAATTATGCACTAGTTCTCTGGATGGACTGAACAAATAAACATGGTACATAAATAAAGCAAAAAAGCAGGATGGCCCAACTACGACATTCAATGAAAAGCGATGATAAAATCTCAATAAAAGTAGCCGACTGCCTTGCAGATGTTTCAAACGAGAGACCTGAAAGAGGCAACAGGACTGACCACATCATGTTATTCAGTGCTGCAGTTGTAATATACACCAGAAAGCAGTTAGCAGTGTTGTTAAATAGTTCAGGACTCAATAAATCATAACAACTCTAACAAAAACGCTGACCTTGAAAAGGTATTTGTTCGTAAATAAATGAGACACCCTTAATATTACATATGATAAAACAGAAGAAAAGCATCATCATGGATTCTGGTAATAGCAAAACTGATCAAGTCGACATTCATACCTGTGCTGCCTCTGCCTTTTGCCAGATTTCGCGGCCTTTTACGTAGTCATGGTTTTCATGTTTGGTGATGAAAGCAATTATAGCTCGTTTCTCCTTGTCTACATAATCTCTTCTCCTGTAATAATATTTGTGATTTAAATTATTAATGAAAAGGTGTAAGAGTTACATAATTAAGTTCACTGAACATCGTCCATTAGGGCAACTAACGTACTTATGAAATTCATACATAAAAGTGGAAAATCTCAATGAATAACAATAACAAATAAATATAATCTCCATTATAAAATTAATAGCAGAAAAACATCAGGAACTTTTTGCTTCTCTTTGGTTCAGAATATTTTATGCAAATTTGAATTCTGCAGAAATCAGTTCATTATAACTATGGTTTCATACAGGTGAGAAAATTGTTTTCTCCCTGGGAAATTCAAATATTGAAGGCACATGGAAACAAAAAAAGTGAGGACAATATCTGAACCTAAGAAAGATTAAGAAAATTATGTAACAAAGCTTCATGCTTGTTATTTAACAATTACTGTTAAGGTCATTTAGTTGAGATTCTGATTCATAAAACGAGGAAGCAATAATAAACAGAGACAAGATTTGCCTTATGTGATATTAGGCACAAATAACTTCTTTTTTAAATTGAATTTAAACCACCAGACAGAGTAAAGAGTGTTGATCCTTAATGTCATAATTACATATGATACAAGGCAATATGGTTAAAAACAGATTAAATTTGATGAGTGGTTCTTACCATTTAGTTCGCAATTGTACATTTCACATATCCTACCTAAAACCAGTACAAGTGTAGACGGAAGGAAAATATTCAAAATGATTCATTATCATTTGAGGTTACTGTACTTCTAAAGTACATATCATCATAATTAACATATCTCCTGTATAGCAATGGATTTAATGTAACATTTTATGACTAACTTTGTTGTTTCTGAGCCAAATTAATATTTAAAATTTTACTCATCTGTATATTTTGTACTTTAGCCTCCCATAGTCAATCTGACGGAAACTGAGGAACGTACATATTATATTTGATTTTAAAGAAACAGGATGTAAGGTTTGGGACTGATTCAAGATAGGATTCAGTGCTGAGCCAATGTGAAAACAGTAATGAACCACTGGGTTAGAATTTTTTTACCAGGTTTTCTGGCTACACTCTACTGCAGTTATATGTAATGGTCGTACCTCTGCGACTGTCACAATGAACTCGTGAACACAATGTGTGGCACATGACATTGGCATTAATATAAACTTTATACCATGAAAGTCAATCCTTACATCTCCCTTTATGGACAGTGAACCTTGGTACTCACGTCGGCTTTGTAGCTGTCTTGTTTGATTTCAGGACAGGTATATTCCATAGCTCATCATCACTTATAATTTCAACATCAGAAGAAGAGCTGAGTCTGCAACACAGGGCAAACACTAAGTTCTTCTGACTTTTAAAACTTTGTAAGAATACAGAAATTTTTACCATAATTTCATAATTCAACATCCTTCCAAAATTACATACGACAACCTGTCACTAACAAATTCTACTCTCTTAACTGCTGCCCTAATTCTGTTATGAAGAAAAAAAAACCCGTCCCTAACTGATGATTGTCATTCCCCTTTCCATAGGAAAATGTGAAATTGTCCACTGGGATCACGCCCTCCCCCTCCCATCGAACCTCCTGCACTGCCACTAAATCTAACTTATAATTCTCTAATTCCCTACTCACTGATATCAGTGCCCCAGCCATATAGAGACTCCTAATGATCCACGTTCCAAATCTCATATCCTTTTTCAATTACCATTGGATAGATAACCACTGTTCAAAATCAGTTAATGCATATTTCACATCAACACATAATAAAACAAATCAATATCAAATTCAAGAAAAAATCTTTAGAGGTACATACTCCTTTCGCAATGACTTATGCTTTGAAGCCGTAGGTATGATCTTTGGCCTTTGATGTCTATTAAGTCCCAGTTTTGATGACTTGAGAGTAGTATCTTCAACCTTATCATTATATTTTGACACTTTAGAAGTGTTAATATGTCCTTTACATGTAATATTTTCAACTCTTTCATTGCTTCCTGTTTTCTCTTTTTCATCTTCACTATCACTGGAATATGTGAATCTAATAATCCTCCGTTTCCTGATAACCAAAACCAACACTTAAATCAATTCCTGCTCTTGAACGTATAAATCAATATTGATAAACAAACACCAAAATAAATGATAGTCTGCAATTCTACATATGAAGGAGATGCCTAAGGCAGGAGTGAGAAGAGGGTGACATAAACTGAACGTGCAGGAAACAGAGCGTCATAACAACTGCGGACATCAAGATATTATAAAGACAAACCTTCAAAATCTGTAACAGGAAATTATTGTGAATAATTATTCTGATGGACTTTGGCCATCATCTAAGTGCTTTTTAAGATTCAAGGTTAAGATCCACTCAACCAGGGGGTCAAAGTAAGTAGTATTGCCCCCCCCCCCAACC